CAGCTGCACTGGCGATACAAGACAGGAACGAACCCGGGTCTGCCCAACCAAGTGTTGTGACTGCCTGCTCGGATTATAGGTAAAGTTAGGAACATAACAGTTTTTTGTTCAAGAGCTTAAGAACATATCATCATGAAACAAATACGGGAACACATGACACACAAACAGTTCTTGCCTACAACAAAACTCCCGGAAAACGCAACCAAGGCCTCGAAAAATGCAACCAAGATAAAAAAATCCCAAGGAAGAGTCACATGTCACTCTTTGAAATCGTAGTAGAAAGGACATATTCAATTGCACCTCAAAGGCGAAATTACACCAATGGCTGGCCCTGCGGATGCTCGCCACAAAAGAAAAGCTGGCCTTTGGAGATTTGAAATCAACACTCTGGTAATGGTCTTCTGTATACATGGTTTTGAATACTGTATTGTCATTCTGAATCTTTATGCATACATTGTAGATCTAGAATGCACAAAACACATAATTTGTAAAAGAAACAACGTATTTTCTATCTTAAAGGTTGTTTTTTTCTAAATGTCCGTATAAAACTCCAGTGAAAGCACGCCTTTTATCTCCAACCGGGTTATACCTCTTAAAGATTGTCCTTACGTAAACTTCCGGAATGTCATGTCAGTTCAAAGAATTAACTTTGATATGTTTTGCGTTTATGGATGTATAAACGTGAAAGCCAGTATGCATACTGTTGACATTCGTCTTGCGGATTTACGCAAAGTGTGTTTGCCGGTTTATAACTAAACAACAGCAAAAAAAGTCAATTCCTATAATCAAATACGTCAACAAAAATAACTTCACAGACTGCATGTTTTCACCAGTTACACACACAAGCTGTAAGCAGCAATCACTATTGGCATTCAGTGATCAGTCGAAAGTCGTGGGTTCCATCCCCGGCCGCGTCATACTCAAAGACGTTAAAAAGTGGTACTTGTTGCTACACTGTCTGGGGCTAAAACATGGACCGGTCCACTTGGAGTCAGTATACTCAGTGGGATAGCACTACAAACTCGGCATTATTCCGCACAAGAACGAGCTGCCACATTCACATACAGGTGCAATAATCTTGAACGAGACGGTAAATTCCACTTCACCTCACCTCACCCAATGGATGCATTCATAGCCTACATGATACATACACCAATGACTACTGATCTACAGCACAACTATATACGAACATTGTCTGATGGTTTTGGCGAGGATTTTGATGTCCAGGATACTGTCGTACAAAACAACATTATCGTTCCGACTGTCGTAGGTCTATTTTAAGGTATGGGCTACGATCACCTTAGCGCTAAGATCGCTTTGTAGAACGGCACCCTGGTTCTTAAACCTGACAACATTAAAGTGTCCGCAAGCTGGTAACAAAATATCAGTAAGTGAGTAAATATTGCTGGAAGCAGCTATTCGCGGCTACACTGTCAAAGATCTGATATATTCACAGGCCAGTGAGTTATCCATTAGGCAATATTTTTAAACGGCTAGAAAAATCTTTAAAACAAAATTCTAAGGACCAATTTGTTGCATACAGGCTAAACTGAGATTGTCCGGGCTTTTTACACGGCACCATATTCGCTACTTTAGGCAATACAAAATTAATTAATAGATTTTCATCCAAAGCCGCCTGACTACAAGACATCCCACCTTACATTATTCTACTGCCTCCAAGTATCTTGAAATAGAAAATTCGCTAATATGTGTGTTCCTACTTTCTTTAGTTCCTGAAACACTCCACACACGGAACAGGCATGATACAAGTGAATCGCCCCTACGACAGCAACTGTACACACATGCCTTAAATAGATCGATAAGAAAGAAAATCAAATGTTCAAAATAAAATGCCTCTCGTCTCCTATGTCTTTTTTAAAAAGTCAATCAAACTCTTAATACCAATTTATTGGGGCCTCCACATGTTAGGCATGTTTATACTGGAAATGTACCCCAATGTACAGCCTCCGGGACCGCCATGGCTATGAATAAGTGAGTGAGTTTGGCTTAACACCGCTTTGAACAGTATTTATATTTCACTTTTAGTGGTTGACATAATGGCGAGAAACTAATTCATTGGCTCTATTGAAAGTATCATTTTATTTCAATAAAAGCGTGAAAGAGAAGTAGTTAACAACACTACTAATTGTTATGTGTTCATCCATGCGATTTCAAACCTATGGACGGCTATAGTCAGTTAACACACTTGTCTCGGGAAGACGAAGAAGAAGGTCAGCCAACAGGTAACTTGTTCGATTCTGTAAGCGGGTGGACTCTAATTCCGCTCGCTTTTGATGGCTTGTTCTCCAACTCAAGACATAAATTGTCGATCGGTAAGTAAGGGACATTAAACAATGTGTTGTCTATCGATCTACGGCCAGATGTTTGTTTGACGATGGTGTTGGTCGCAGATTATTTGAATTCATTTTGCACTCCTTCTTTCCAAAAAGCTGTATCAGTGCTTTCTTGGCAAATGTAACTGTGTGCACCAATTTATCGAAACGTTCGAAGTACCTTTTTTAAATGTTATAGTGAGTGAGTGAGTGAGTGAGTATGTCAAAGTTCTGTTTGGTTTGAAAGTAGCGATTGCTGATATATATCAACTTGATGTGGAAGGAAAGTTCATCGTGATGCACGTTTCAGACGTTTATCCGTCTTGTAGCTGGAATATTGCTCAGCGAGGCGTTAAAAAACAAACACACAAACAAATAAATTTCGATGTTTACCACTTTTGCTAAAACACACAATCACGACATTATGATTCGGAAACTAGTTTGTAATTCTTAGTTCTGTACCACCCGTCAGATACAATCGAATGACAAATACTAGATGAAGATACTGTATTTTGAGATTATGCCATGACGACAAGAATGCTTTCAAACGGTTGTCTTTTGGAATGTACAATTACACATGGTACATAGGTAAGCGAAAATGGGTCACAGATCTTGATAGGTGTAACAAATATTACTCAGGTTCCAGAATAATTACTTATATTCCTGACCATTTCAAATTAATGGTTAAGAATACATACTGTTAACAAACATGTAAAATATCCCTCAAAACATGTTTTCATTAAATCGCAACCTGTTACATATATTGCAAAATAAACGTAGGCAAGTAAGGCAGATCAATCGCATTTAGATGACTAATGCATATGTATAAATCAGTTGTCTATCGATTTGGCACCAGTTGTGTGTTTGAAAATTAACGTGCTGGTTTCATACGTACTTGTAATTGAAAGCGTCAACATGCTCAATATAATTTAACACAAGAAATTCTCTGCATGAATGTCCAATGATAGCGAGAACATAAAAGTGTCCGCAAGCTGGAAATAAAATATCAGTAAGTGAGTAAATATTGCTTGAAGGAGCATCAGCAGTATTGCAGCTATTCCCGGCTACACTGTCCGTTAAAGATCTGAAATATTCACAGGTCAGTGACTTTCTCCATGAGGCAATATTTTTACACCGCTAGAAAATTCTTTAAAACAAAACTCTCAAAGACCAATTTGATACATAGGGGCTAAACTGAGACTGTACTGTTTTTTTACACGGCACCATATTCGCTACTTTAGGCAATATAAAATTAATTAATATATTTTCATCCACTCCCGCCTGACTACAAAACATCCCACCTTACATTATTCTACTGCCTCCAAGTTACATGAAATAGAAAAATCGCTAATATGTGTGTTCCTACTTTCTTTAGTTCTTGAAACACTCCACACACTGAACACGCATGATGCACGTGAATCGCCCCCTACGACAGCAATTGTACACACATGCCTTAAATAGTTCGATAAGAAAGAAAATCAAATGATCAAAATAAAATGCCTCTCGTCTCCCATATCTTTTAAAAAAAGTCAATCAAACTCTAAATACCAACCTGACAGCAGGTGGATCTTAAAGATGGTGTTGTTCGCAGATTATTTGAATTCATTTTGCACCCCTTCGTTCCAAAATGCCGTATGAGTGCTTCTTGGCGCATGTAACTTAGTGCACCAATTCATCGAAACGTTCGAAGTTCTTTTTTTAGATGTTATAGTGAGAGAGTTCGTCATAGTTTTGTTTGGTTTGAAAAATGTTTATCAACTTAATGTGGAAGGAAAGTTCATCGTGATGCACTTTTCAGACGTTTATCCGTCGTGTAACTGGAATATTGCACATAGTTACATAGGTAAGAGCAAATGGGTCACAGACCTTGATAGGTGTAACAAATATTACTCAGGTTGAAGATTTATTACTTAGATTCCTGATCATTTCAAATTAATTGTTCAGAATACATACTGTCAAATGTGCAGCCTCCGGGACCGCCATGGCTCTGAATAAGTGAGTGAGTTTGGCTTAAAACCGCTTTGAACAGTATTTATATTTCAGTTTTTGAGGTGGACATAACGGCGAAGTATGTTACTCCTCGTGAGGTTGCTGTGGGCACACAGGCGAGGCATGTTACACCTCGTGGGGTTCTGCTGAACGCACACACTAGTATGTTATTGCTCGTGGTGTTGTTGCAGACAAACACTCGAAGTATACTCTCTCAAAAAAGAAACGCATAACGAAAATGGTAATTTGATGCAGAAATGTATTGGCACAGGGTGGGGTTTTCAAAAACATTTGTTTTGTTTATGTTTTCTCTGGTGTTTTTGTCTTCAAACGTCATATCCAAACGCATCCCGCATGAAAAACCCGTATGTAAAAGCATGATTTTCGATAGACGCATTTAATGTCACAGGACACGTATTGCACGTGCAATGCGCGGGAAACTCGGGGATCACGTCGTATCGTGGATGGGTTTAAAAGATCGATCTCCGTCTTTTTTCATTCACTTTATTTGGAAGTTTGTGAAGACTGCGAAATGCCAAGGCTGAGCCGCGCCAATCGTCACATCGCCATAGGTCTCCTGGAAGCAGAACAATCTGAACTTACAGTTGCCCGTCGAATGAATGTTCATCAAAGCACGATTTCTCATCTCTGGGAGAGATATCGGCAGCAGAACTCGGGATGAAGATGGACCTAGAAGTGGACGTCCTAGAGTCACCACTGCGGCGCAAGATAGGTACATCCGGGTACATCACCTGCGTCAGCGAACAGCTACAGCGACCACTACCGCTAGGCAAATACCCGGATTGAGAAGGATAATTTGCTGAATTGGCGTCGAATCTGGTGCAGCGATGAATCGAGATTTCAGTTGGAACGTCGCGATGGAAGAATGCTGGTGTACAGACGACGTCATGAACGTTTTGCCGAAGCCTGTGTCCCCCAGGTGGACAGATTCGACACTTCTAGTGTCTTTCTGATGGACAAAAAGGCGAGGTATGTTACTCCGTGTATACTACTCTAACTTGGGTTGCAGTTAACACACAGGCGAGGTATGTTTCTCTACCTGGGGTTGTGATGAACACACTGGCGAGATATGTTACTCTACCTGGTGTTGTGGTAAACAAACAGGCGAGTAATGTTACTATAACTTGGGTTTTAGTGAACACACAGGCGAGGTAGGTTTCTTTACCTGGGGTTGTGGTGAACACACAGGGAGGTATGTTACTCTACTTTGTTTGTGGTGAACAAACTGGCGAGGTATATTACTCTACCTGTGGTTGTGGTGACCACACAGGCGAGGTATGTTACTTTACCTGGGGTTGTTGTGAACACACAGAGAGGTATGTTACGCTACCTGGTCTTATGGTAAAAACACTGGCGATGTAAGTTACTATACCTGAGGTTGTGGTAAACGAACAGGCGAGGTAGGTAAGTCTACCTGCTGTTGTGGTGAACACACAGGGAGGTATGTTGTTCTACCTGGGGTTGTGGTGAACACACAGACGTGGTATGTTAATCAACCTAGGGTCTAGGTGAACATACAGGCGAGGTATGTTACGCTACCTCGGTTTGTGGTGAACACACAGGGAGGTATGTTGTTCTTCCTGGGGTTGTGGGGAACATACTGGCGAGGTATGTTACTCTATTTGGTTTGTGGTGAACACACAGGGGATGTATGTTGTTCTACCTGGGGTTGTGGTGAACATACTGACGAGGTATGTTACTCTATCTTCTTGGTGGTGAGCACAAAGGCGAGATATGTTCCTCAACCTGGGGTTATGGTGAACACACAGGCGATGTAAGTGACTCTACCTGGGGCTGTGGTGAAAAGACAGGCGAGGTATATGTCTCTACCTGTGGTTGTGGTGAACAAGCGGGCGAGAAATGTTGCTCTATCTGCGATTGTGGTGAACACACTGGCGAGGTATGTTACTGTACCTGCGGCTGCGTTGAACACACTGGTGAGGTATGTTAATCTTCCTGGGGTTGTGGTGAACAAACTGGCGAGGTATTTTAATCTTCCGTGGGTTGTGGTGAACACACTGGCGAGGTATGTTACTCAACCTCGGGCTTTGGTGAACACACTGCCGAGGTTTCTTAATCTACCTGGGGCTGTGGTGAACACAAATGCGAGGTATGTTACTCTACCTGGGGTTGTGGTGAACACAGGCGAGGTATGTTACTCTACCTGGGGTTTTAGTGAACACACAGGCGAGGTATGTAAGTGTAACTGACTGGGTTTGTGGTGAACACACAGGCGAGGTATGTTATTCTTCCTGGGGTTGTAGTGAACACATTGGCGAGGTATGTTACTCTACCTGGGGTTGTGGTGTACACACAGGCGAGGTATGTTACTCTACCTGGTTTATGGTGAACACACAGGCGAGGTATGTTACTCTACCTGGGGTTTTGGTGAACACACAGGCGAGGTATCTAAGTGTAACTGACTGGGGTTGTGGTGAACACACAGGCGAGGGATCTTAATCTTCCTGGGGTTGTGGTGAACAAACTGGCGAGGTATCTTACTCTACCTGGGGTTGTGGTGAACACACAGGCAAGGTATGTAACTCTACCCGGGGTTGCTGTGAACACAGAGGCGAGGTATGTTAATCTTCCTGGGGTTGTGGTGAACACACTGGCGAGGTATGTTAATCGTCCTGGGGCTGTGGTGAACACACTGTTGAGGTATGTTACTCTACCTGGTTTTGGGAGACACTGGACAGATATGTAACTCTTTTTAGGGTTGTGTTGAACACACATGCGACGTATGTTACTTTTCCTCGGGCTTTGGTGAACACACAGGCTAGGTATGTTACTCTTCCTGGTTTATAGTGAACACATAGGCGAGGTATGTTACTTTACCTGGGGTTTTAGTGAACACGTAGGCGAGGTATGTAAGTGTAACTGACTGGGGTTGTGGTGAACACACAGGCGAGGTATGTTAATCTTCCTGGGGTTGTGGTGAACACACAGGCGAGGTATGTTACTCTACCTGGAGCTGTGGTAAACAAACAGGCGAGATATGTTTCTCTACCTGGGGTTGTCGAGAACACACTGGCGAGGTATGTTAATCTTCCTGGGGTTGTGGTGAACACACAAGCGAGGTATTTTAATCTTCTTGGGGTTGTGGTGAACACACAGGCGACATATGTTACTTTTCCTCGAGCTTTGGTGAACACACAGGCTAGGTGTGTTACTCTACCTAGTTTATGGTGAACACACAGGTGAGGTATGTTGTTCTACCTAGGGTTGTGGTGAACACACTGCCGAGGTTTCTTAATCTACCTGGGGCTGTGGTGAACACACATACGAGCTATGTTACTCTACCTGGAGTTGTGGTGAACACACTGTTGAGGTATGTTACTCTAACATGGGCTGTGGTGAACACACTGGCTAGGTATTTTACTCTACCTGGGGTTGTGGTGAACACACTGGTGAGGTATGTTACTCTACCTGGTTTGTGGAGACACTGGCCAGGTACGTGACTCTATTTGGGATTGTGTTGAACACACAGGCGACGTATGTTACTTTTCCTCGGGCTTTGGTGAACGCACAGGCTAGGTATGTGACTCTACCTGGTTTAGGGTGAACACACTGGCGAGGTATATTACTCTACCTGGGGTTGTGTTGAACACACAGGCGACGTATGTTACTTTTCCTCGAGCTTTGGTGAACACACAGGCTAGGTGTGTTACTCTACCTAGTTTATGGTGAACACACAGGTGAGGTATGTTGTTCTACCTGGGGTTGTGGTGAACACACAGGCAAAGTATGTTACTCAACCTCGGGCTTTGGTGAACACACTGCCGAGGTTTCTTAATCTACCTGCGGCTGTGGTGAACACACATACGAGCTATGTTACTCTACCTGGGGTTGTGGTGAACACACTGGTGAGGTATGTTACTCTACCTGGGGTTGTGGTGAACACACTGGTGAGGTATGTTACTCTACCTGGTTTGTGGCGACACTGGCCAGGTACGTAACTCTATTTGGGATTGTGTGTTACTTTTCCTCGGGCTTTGGTGAACACACAGCCTAGGTATGTTACTCTACCTGGTTTAGGGTGAACACACTGGTGAGGTATGTTACTCTAACTGGGGTTGTGGTGAACACACTTGGGAGGTATATTACTCTACCTGGGGTTGTGGTGAACACACAGGCGAGGTATATTACTCTACCTGGGATTGTGGGGAACACAATGGCGAGGTATGTTACTCTACCTAGGGCTGCGGTGAACTTACATGCGAGGTATGTTACACTACGTGGGGTTGTGCTGAACAAACTGTCGAGGTATGTTACTCTACCTTGGGTTGTGGTGAACACATTGGCAAGGTATGTTGTTCTACCTTTGGTTGTGGTGAACACACTGGCGAGGTATATTGTTCTACCTGGGGTTGTGGTGAACACATTGGCAAAGTATGTTGTTCTACCTTGGGTTGTGGTGAACACACTGGCGAGGTATGTTACTCTAACTGGGGTTGTGGTGAACACATTGGCAAGGTATGTTGTTCTACCTTTGGTTGTGGTGAACACACTGGCGAGGTATATTGTTCTACATTGGGTTGTGGTGAACACTTTGGCAAGGTATGTTGTTCTACCTTGGGTTGTGGTGAACACACTGGCGAGGTATGTTACTCTAACTGGGGTTGTGGTGAACACATTGGCAAGGTATGTTGTTCTACCTTTGGTTGTTGTGAACACACTGGCGAGGTATATTGTTCTACATTGGGTTGTGGTGAACACATTGGCAAGGTATGTTGTTCTACCTTGGGTTGTGGTGAACACACTGGCGAGGTATATTGTTCTACATTGGGTTGTGGTGAACACATAGGCAAGGTATGTTGCTCTACCTTGGGTTGTGGTGAACACACTGGCGAGGTATGTTACTCTACCTTGGGTTGTGGTGAACACACTGGCGAGGTATGTTTCTCTTCCTCGGTTCGTGGTGGACACACTGGTGAGGGATGTAACTCTACCTGTGGAAGTGGTGAACACACAGTCGAGGTTTGTTTCTCTTCCTCGGTTCGTGGTGGACACACTGATGAGGGATGTTACTCTACCTGGGGTTGTGGTCAACACACAGTCCAGGTATGTTACTCTTCCTGGGGTTGTGGTGAACACACTGGCAAGGTATGTTGCTCTACCTAGGGTTGTGATGAACACACTGGCAAGATATGTTGTTCTACCTGGGTTGTGGTGAACACACAAGGGAGGTATGTTACTCTTCCTGGGGTTGTGGTGAACACACTGGCAAGGTATGTTGCTCTCCCTTGGGTTCGTGGTGAACACACTGGTGAGGTATGTTACTCCACCTGGGGTTGTGGTGAACACACTGGTGAGGTATGTTACTCTACCTGGGGTTGTGGTGAACACACTGGTGAGGTATATTACTCCATCTAGTGTTGTGGTGAACACATTGGCAAGGTATGTTGTTCTACCTTGGGTTGTGGTGAACACACTGGCGAGGTATGTTACTCTACCTGTGGAAGTGGTGAACACACAGTCGAGGTATGTTTCTCTTCCTCGGTTCGTGGTGGACACACTGGTGAGGGATGTTACTCTACCTGGGGTTGTGGTTAACACACAGTCCAGGTATGTTACTCTTCCTGGGGTTGTGGTCAACACACTGGCAAGGTATGTTGCTCTACCTGGGGTTGTGGTGAACACACTGGTAAGATATGTTGTTCACCACAATCCCAGATAGAGTAATATACCTCGCCATTGTGTTCAACACAA